CAGAAAACAGAAGTCTGGTAAGGGCAGGGTGTTCGTAGGGTATGATAATAATATTCGGTAAGTACGTGTTTGTAGTTACCCCTGAGTTGAGCCATGCTCGAGAATACCAAGCCACGCCCCCTAGTACGGTAAAGCTTCCGATTGGTCGTCACGGTTATATCATAATAGATGGGCGGAGCGTATTCGAGGAGTTTCCACCAGAACAACCGCTGCCGTCGCGACGAGCTCCGCCGCGACGAACCCCGCATGGACAGTCGCTCTTTCGCTCGTACCCTCGAAACTACCCTTATATCGAGATCGCGAGTATTATATACACGGATTTCGTTATCTGTCAAAAGTCAAAGGGACGTCGTTAAACTCAGTGCTTTGGTTTTCGTTGATTCGCTGTGCGTTAAATATTTGTTTTTTGAAATTTTTGAAATAATTTTGAGTTTTCAAAAAAAACAGCAATACTCGATACTCTAGCTTTGTGATACCGCAAAATTCGAGTGACCTCGCCATCCTCGTTTCAACAAGGTATTTAAATGTTAAAAAAAAAAATTTTGCCCACCCTTAAAATTTTTTTCTCACTTCAAATTTTTTGTTCAAAATTTAAAAAATTTTTTTTCCAAAAATCATCGCTTCGACGTAAATGGAATACAAATTAGGGGATGATTTTCGGTGTACAGAGGGTTGAATCCGGCAATAGGTACATGCAAGGGGTAGGTGGCATTAAGAAACAGACACGTTCAAAAGTGAATTGCGACAAAGTAAATTGATAGTCGAGTTGTGCTTAGGGGTGCGGAATCGGAGGGAGGGGAGGGCTCGAAAAACTGGTCCCATGAGAGCATGGGGTCCCGTAAGTGGAGGTTGGCTCGCGCAGCCGCCTGTTCGACAAACACCATAAACTGTTTGTGTTCGGATTAGCCATCCGCCACTCGAGAATTACCCGTTGGGTAAACTCGTCGGGAGAACATAGGAAAAGGGGGGAATTAATAAACCTGCCCCATCCGACCCCCATTGGAATCCGACGGGGCACAGGTGAATCGCTAAAAAACTTTTCGCAAAGGGACATTTCCAGAAAGCAATTTGACAAGTTGTAAGTAGTTTTCCGGTTCGGAAAGCTCCTGGAATTGTCGGATACGAAATGACAATTTTCTCAGTTTTATATACACGTTTTTTTTTTTTTTTTGTAAATATCCAAAAAATATATATATATACATTAAAAATATATCTGTCACGATTTTTATCCAAAAATGTCAATTTTCATCCCGTATCATGACGTATTGTATATTAACAATATTTAGAGAATTATGAAGGTACAATCGTATGGGAGGGAGGGGGGATTATGGTAAATTTGGAGAATCCAAAATTTTTGGTAATTGATATCAGAATATACGAAACGTCTATACTGTCGATAATTTAATTATTAATAACACGAAAGAAATATATTTTTGTACTTGCGTTTAGATCAAAACAGTTTGACGTTTGACAATCCGAATGATATCACATCCCTGTGACACGTGAGTATATTTGACATAAAGAATGTGACATGACAACACGTGGTGGAGAAAGAAAACACGACACGCGATGATATTGTTATTCCTGCATTAACAGTACTTATTAAATAAATATAATGTAACGTGAACACCATACTGGTACCGAGAGTCCGAAATACCAAGAGTCACCCCCTATAAGACTTAATGATAAATAATTTAATTTTTATCAAATTTTCGCTACGTGATCCGTGGGATTTTAAAATTATAGAAAAAACATGATACGCGAATACAATTTCAATTATCAAATGTATTATCCGAGTAAAGAGCCTCAGTTACTGTACGTATAATCTTCCAATCCCCTTGAGGGATGCTGATAACCTCCGGCGGCGAATCGCTGCTTGATACAAGCGGCTCAAATGAAAATGTTCCTACGCGTAATAAAATATGTATTGAAATATACACGGATTAACGAGTAGCATATAGGGCCCGGATATGTGATTACTCGGTAGGATTCGCAGTTCGGTTAATCTGTAAAATATATACGATATACTAGACCCATCGAGAGAGATAAGAAATACAGATAAGTTGTGCGTAAAAAAAAATTGTTGAAAAAAAAAATTTCCAAATTTATCCTCAAAAAATATTTTTACTAAATTCAGGCCACGCATGGTGTTTTTGCTGGGAATAAAAGAGGATGAAAAAAATTGGCTGCTCTAGATTTCATTAGGCTAATTGATAAGAGGGCATACCTACTGTATACGTCTGGTATGCTCAGCATATAAATTCGTACGAAGATACGATCGCTGTTGGACACTTGAATATTTAATTGATAAAATCATCAGCATAATTGCCATAAGGGTCGTTACGTACTCGCCCTAATTTTAAGTACCAGTGCTGTGCGATACCTGTACAGAAGGATAGGGATGGCGATTAATAAATAATAAATTACGAAAAATCGTAATTGCGGTTAATTAATAGTCACGATCATTGAGGAGAACGTGTAATTTTATTTGAAAAAAAAAAAAAAGAAAAAAAAAATTTTTTTCCCAAATTAGTCACTCGATCACAAATAAAATTTTACGCACACCGGGTATAGCTTTGTTTGCCGAAATACCGTGTAATTGCATTTTAATTACAGCGATTGATTAAAAAGGATCGACGTCGATGTAACACGATAAGACATCCTGTTCCTGACAGTATCAAAATGCACGTGTCTAACGTGTAATAAAATCAAAATAACACGTCCATTAGTCCCGCCGGATATTAATTCCATGGATTGATCGAAAACAAAGCCGGAACTGACGTAACGCGTCAAGCCTTCGAATTGAATAATCCCGATCCTGCGACTTCCTTAAATATTCGAAATCCTTTCTTTCCGCCCGATTCACCGGGTTAAGCAAACACACTTTGACGGAGACTCGCGCGTGACTCCGCGAAACGCAAAGTTCAAAGTAAACAATGGAAAAGTAAGACATGTCAATTGTGACAGCTAAACGTCAAACTCAGCCTTCAAATTCCGGCCGAGCAAGAAGGTTCCGTCAAAGCTCCGGAGTGTTGGCCTTAAAATAAATAATAAAAATTCCAACCAAATAACCACCCCCATAATCAACACGACGATCGAACGAATAATAAGGTCAATGAAAAATATATAATATAAAATATAATAATAGCCGCTACCAATCGAACAGCCCAATAAATTCAAACTACGTAAACGGGTATTGAAAAAAAAAAAATTTATCTAAATTACAATTGGCCACATTTAATTCACCACGAATAAACAATTTATCGTTAATGAATTTTCTATAATTAATAGTAAGAGTTTCATCAGATTATCCCCCCCTCCCCCCCCCTCTCCCCGCACCACCATAAACAAAACAGACTCCGACAACCAAATCATGCAAGGACCAACAAGAAAGGTTATACGAAAAAAAATAAGCGATTCGAAATAAGGACCTTCGCAAAGAGCCAAACAGTCACGAAGCAAAAGAGAAACATAACCAGGAAACACAAGAAACCTCGTCTACATCTTGGAAAAGGAAATCACGATGGCCGTCGTCGTAGGGGGGATGATTGTCGTTAGCACTAGGAGGGGGAGAGGAGGAGGAGGAGGGGGGGGGTAGGTCGACTTTCGAAAAGAGATACCAACACACTGGTGTCTACTGGTACTCCTGCTACGTTAATACTATACCTCTACAAATACCAGTTACTCGTACTAGTACCGTACCAGTACAGGACGGTCATGATGGAAGCAGAGAGATTTAACAACGTTACAATGTACGAACGAACGAGCTCTCCCGTTCTGGCCCCTGTATATACCCACCCTCGACTAACTTCTACGAGCCAGCCAACCGACTCTCCCCCCTCCGGCCCCCCTGAACCCCCCGGCCCAGCCGTATACAGCCGGGCCCGCCTCGTGGCAGAGCCGAGCGAGGAGCCCAGATTGAATCGTAAAATAACCGAGAGGGGAACAATGCGCCTCGCTACAACATTGTGTTTGCATTTAAATAATCTGCGAGGCTGAGGTGCGCTTATTCCACGTAACTTCGTATAGCTTGGGGTACCTATAGAGCCAAGTAGAATCCGAAGAGTTTTCAGAGTATGTATATAACGTGAATTTCGCTGTGTAACGTAGTATATGACATATAGATATACAAGGTAGGTCTTAACCTATCTGTATAATAAATGCATACGAGTGCGCCTGTATATGGGAATATGTGACTTTTTGAGTAAGCGTACCAAGAGGGCGGGAGGGTGGGTGTTGTTAGACTGTCGGGTGTTTTTTTTTTGGTTTTAAGGTTTGATCCTCGAAAATAAGTGAGGCGGTTTTGAAATTCGCGCCAGTAACGTTTCCAAGTGGCGAGTAATTAATGCGGTCGATTCTACCCGATAGGGTCCAGGCTGACCAACGGAAGCGAACGGGTCGGGCATGGGGGGCTGGGCCTGCATTGTTTCACGGTGGATGAGAATTTAATTTGCACGGCCCAGGCGGATGGGTGCCGCCTTGTTTAAGCGTGGGGTGGTAGGGGGCGGCTATGAGTGCGCGGGGCTATGCGGGGGTGTCAAATTGAATTACCCCCCTTTGCTCGCTCGCAAACCCCTGGGACATTTGCCGGGACGCTCTCACTGTGCTTCTGTCATGGTAGCTACCTATACCTTCGCGGGAGGCGTTTTCAATTAAAATCAACACCAGTTCAACTACCCTCGGCTCCTGCCGCCTACCTCGTCCACCTAACCCTGGAACTTACGTACTCTATGTTTTGGATCTCTGTGTACCTTCTTTCAATTGTTTTTTGGTACACTGCCGACTGGTGGATTTTGGATTTTGGATTTTTTTTTCCGAATTTTGGATTTTTATTGTGGGGTGACGTTTTGATTTTTTTACAGTATAAGCATGGTTTTTTTTTTTTTTTTTTTTTTTTTTTTTTTTTTTTTTTTTTTTTTTTTTTTTTTTTTTTTTTTTTTTTTTTTTTGAAAAATTTATGCGGGTTTGGTATGGAGGTTTTTTTGGAAATTCGATTGTCACTTCAGGGTATGCCTTTTTTTTTTTAGTGAGATTCAGTGATCTGAGGGTACAGCGTTTTTTGTGTGAGGTGAATGTGGACTGATTTTTGATTATTTTGACATTGGTGTTCGATTTTGATATTTGGACGTATTCGATGATACTTTAAGGCAGTTTTCTCATTGAACGGATAATGACGTGAAAATATTTAATTGCCTTTGGTAATATTGTCGCGACGGACGGCCAGCTTTGCTTTCACGTAAAAGTTTAATTTCATCGTGTTAATTCCTATCGGATTTACTTAACCGCTGTTCAATTGAGAGATAATTAAGGAGCGTAAACCGAGAAGTCTGCATTGCTATGGGCGACGAGTGACGGGACAGACGGGCTTAATCACATTTTCAATCGGCACGCGGCCCTGAGTCGCGACGTTCTCAATCAACTGTATTAACGAAACGACTGTGAACAAATGAGCGACGCTTTTTGTTTTACTTCGAGCAAGTGACAGCAAGCATTTGACAAAATTTTGATACCAAAATGTTTATAAAAACTTATTTATCTACCTTATTAATCAGAATTAACAATTTTTATTCTTATAGCTCCAAAACGTCGTGGTTACAAAGTATCCTTTTTTAAACTAAAAAAAATTTTTATAATTTTGAATTTGCGTATGTCGAATTTTGGAAAAAAATCCAAAGTACCACTAAAAATTTTAAAACCATGCTGTACAGTGTAACGCGACGTTGAAAGATCGAATTTTTCAAAATAATTTTTTGATTTAGTTTTCATACAAAAATATTTGTGAAAATGCCAAATAATTTATGAGGTAACGCATTGACGAGAAAAAAATATCCGATAGAAGAAACAAAAGCGAATTGTACGATTGATTTAATCAAGCGAAACTACAAGCCTCTGTGTACGATCGATAAAAAATAATAAATATAATTACTTAGTCCGGACTCGTATTGGCTTTTGTAGGGAAACGAATGAAAAGGGTCTTACGTATAACATGAACGAAGGTAAAGGGTTCGTAAAAGACTCGTCGCTTGATCGTTTCGATTCGGCCCTTTGTTACTTCCGTTCGATTTCCTCGATAATTTCTGAGTACAGTAAAAAGCTTAATTTTAAACATTTGCAGAATGGACGGACCAGCAGTATTGTCGCTAGCACCGATCGCCCCTCAAAAATCTGCCCAGTCGCCCCAACCGCAATCTCACTCGAAACCAAATCAGGTACCTACTGTCAATACGTATGAAAGACAAATATAATATATCGAAGTACAAAGCCCGTAGCTTTCACTTTGTTTTAATAATCGCCAAGCAACATTACCGTCCAGCCAATCAATAAATTTTAATTAGAGTAACCTATAACGATTGTATTCTCGCCGATACATAATTAATATAAAATCCATTGAATTGAATTATCTGTAAAATTTATCCCATATTACACAGCGCTCAAATCGAATAACCCTTTAACGCATAAATTAAATGAATTAATTGATCGTGCTTTTTTTTAATTATTGAATTAGTGCTTGTTTTAATTAAAATTCTCATTGCCTGAGAGCTGCCTGGTGCATCTAAGCTGATAGGAGTTGCAGGTAGGGACTGTATCGTTATATGGAATCCACATCGTCTCCCTGGTTATCGAGGGACAGGAGAGACTCTGCCTGGCACAGATCAGCAACACACTACTCAAGCAATTCAGCTACAACGAGATTCACAATCGACGCGTCGCTCTTGGTATCACGTGCGTTCAATGCACACCGGTGCAGCTGGAGATTCTTCGTCGAGCTGGAGCCATGCCCGTTTCTTCGCGTCGTTGTGGGATGATCACGCGAAGAGAGGCTGAGAGACTGTGCAAGTCATTTCTAGGAGACAATGCACCACCTAGGTATACAATGAGAAAAGATGGATAATTAATTATTTCTGATTTCCGTTAATACTAATTGATGTATAATAATTAATGCTTACTAATTGGCTCTTGTACAGACTTCCAGAGGACTTTGCCTTTACCGTGCATCATGAATGCGCCTGGGGATGTCGTGGGGCCTTCCTACCAGCCCGTTACAACAGTTCAAGGGCAAAGTGCATAAAATGTGCATACTGTGGACTTTTTTTCTCACCGAACAAATTCATCTTCCACTCGCACAGGATTGGACCGACGGATAAATACGTGCAGCCGGATGCAGCTAATTTCAACTCGTGGCGTAGACATATGAAATTGTCAGGTAATCCTCCTGACGAAGTGGTCCATGCCTGGGAGGATGTCAAGGCTATGTTCAATGGTGGCACCAGGAAGAGATTACTGTCGAATCCAAGCTCAAGAAGTTCGTCGAGTCCTGCCAAGCAAAGTAGATCATCGCCGACGGTGCAGCTACCTTCCCCTATAGCTGCTCCTGCTCACCCTCGAGTGCCGCCGTTTCCGGAATTGCCGTTGCCCCTCTCCAGGAGTCTCGTGATGGATTACGTGTGGCATCAGCATCAGCAGGCTGCCGCTGCTGCGGCTGTCAAGACACCTGGATTCGCCTTCCCACCGTACGCCTTACCCTGGCTGGCAAAAAGAGGACCTGTCCTATTTCCAGGTAAAAATACAAATAGTTTTAGAACCAAGAATTTTTATTCACTCAAATTATAATCTCTATACCATGTATCAAAATAATTGACAAATTTAATCCCAATTAAATTTCACTCTAGACTATTAAGTGATAAACAAATTTATGGTTGAAGGAATTTTTAGTTATTTCTCATTTTTTTAAGGTTGAAACAGCAAATTTTTTTCCCCCTTTATTTTTACAAAGAATTCAAGAGTCTTTTTTTTCCTAGGACCTTTACCACCACCTATAACCGGCAGCAGCACGGCAGAGCCATTGATACCAGCAGTTACCACGACTCTTCATCAATCCGCTTTCCGTCCAGTAATCCGTGGACCACCGATCGTCGAACCGGCCCTCCAAGAAGTGACGACGGACCGTCCAGTGGAAAAGGAAGGAGCGGAGGAGAATTCAGACGACGAAGTTGACATAGAGACTACCGAAGAGGACATGGTTGCTCCATTAAATGTTAGTCTGCAAGGCCTTCAATCCGCTTCAAATTCCGCCATGAGCAACCATAGTGGACACAGTGGTCACAGTACATCGCCCCAATGCTGGAGTCCACCTCGAGAAACGGTGAGTGTTGCTACAAAGATAAATAATTATTTAATTTGTCAAGATACATAATTTTTATATAATTATTCGGTAACGATAAATTTGCATAATAACCAAACAACCACGAAAAATCATTATTGCTATATTAATTTAAATACACTAGTTGCGTCATAGAAAGCAGCGCCCTATTTGTCCCTCGACAATAATGTCCTACTTTCGTAAACTTTGTATTGTAATGTATTTCATGTCAAGCTACGCGAACCATTGCATAATACCAAATGTCATAACATTATCGATCAATCTTGGATAAGTATTCATACTCTATCGAAAGTGTAAGATCAACAGTATCAGTGAACTCGACTGAGTCGTTATGAAAATTCATTGAAAAGGACATAAAAGAAACGTACGTAGTCCGTATGTTAGGGTTATGTTCCGTTAGGCTCTTGTGATTCCTACCAGGCACGTGACCGAAGCATGAACGATGAAAACATAGTTAGGTGTCCTCGTGTCCTTTCGTAAGGCTCCATTGCTCCTGATTACTGGGCAAACACTTGACACCAAATGGACCCACGGCGACAAGTATGTTACGCGTCGTTGCTTTGTGAACACGAGCAGTTCTAACCAACCCAGTAACCCTGTCGCAAACACAGTTAGGACATTATGACAATCACGACGGTCGTCACCGTGACGCTGCCGACGCTCACGCGATCTATGATCACGCGACGAACTAACACCACTGTAGCTCCTACAACGGCCAGTTACCATAGTGCAACTAAAATCCGTTAGGATTCGAATATAATATTTGAAAATTAATATAATTCACTGAAAATTATGTATACAGGGAATCGTGAAATATTTAATTAGTGTCTTCGTCGGGAGAAATTGAACGTTAATATATATTACGGACGATGAAATTAATACGGGAAATAAAATTCAATGCCGTCTGATGCGAACAGTAGGAATTTAAAAAGATATAAAAACAAAGTGCACGAAATACTATCAGCTGATTTAATTCTGTAAACAGTCGACCGCAAGGATATTTAAAAATTGACCGTTTATAGCACATCAAGCGAATGTCAATTAATTACTTCGATAGCAGAAGAGCAATCCTTAATCACGTAATGGTGAGTAAGGCAGTTTCTCACTCAGTTATAATAATATCGAAGTATATTTACATTGTAACCATAGAAGCCTCGCCCTAACGTCGTGCCCTTGCGAACCCGCCGCAAGATGACACGTCGCCATGCAAACAGTTTGCTACAACGTTAATCAAATTAATCGAGTGATATTAACTTTTTGTTGCGTATCGATTTTTATTACTTCACAATCTTACCGTTCAGCACGATACAATCCCATACGAAAATACTTACTCGTTCTGCCGACGTTACTGGAAATAATTCATGCAAAAGCTAACCTTAAATTTTTATTTTTTTTTAATTCAAAGCTTCAAACGTACCTCGCATTTATTTCATTGTGTATTCCTTATATCGAAGGACCAGTTGAGAACCGCTGTCGCAGACTACTCAACGTCCCTAGCATTTGCTCTGTGGTTTGACTGCTCGTATGGCTGCTCTCATCAATCGTGATAATTATTGTGTCAGTAAATACTTGCTGAGCACACGATGAAACTACCTGTAGTGTAATACAGAGTGCGCGTCATCTAGAACGATACAAGTCTAAAGGTAGGGTCCGATACAATTATATAAATGAGGACGATATTATTTTGACGTTTTCCATCACGTGTCTTATTCGCTTCGTCGAGCATGTAATCACTTAGAATGTTTTACACGCGTGCACACGCATTTATGACAACATTCTGTACACTTCATTTACAATCGTATCCTACATTGGCGAATAACTCCCAGCAATTACGCGTCTCTGGCTATCATTATGACTCCTGTTAGGTTAGGTTATTTCATGTCACGATTGTACATAGTCCGTGCGCTTGACGGTAGTAATAAATTCAAGTTGATTCGATTAATCGTTAATTTAAGTCGGGAAAAAGTTTAAATAAATTATTTTTATCATAGTGACATAACCCCTGTCGGTGTTGAATTCTCGTTATATTAATATAGAAAATAATTGTGACAACAAGAGGTCAATATGTAAAATGCAAAAACATCTTGTGTGACTAAATTTATTTGCTGGTAAAATTTCGTCGAGCCAATAGGAATTCGAAATTTATGTTAAAAATTAAAATATTATACACTTTTATTTATTCTTATATATAACATATCCAAATATTAATAGACTCAATTTGACAGTACGTACAGTAATATCAATGTATATTCACAGTTATATCTATTTGGTGCAAATGTCGGCTCGCGTACGACCTGCACTTCCTAGAGGGTCGACCTGCTCCTCGTTCACTGGGGGGGCACAGAGAGGAATAGGCCAGGATAAGCCGTTAGGATTATCAGACAGCTTTTCAATTCCCCTAGTCGGTGAACGTGTCGAGTGGCGACTCCCTTGTATTTTGTCCGCCTCCTGGTGCTCGTGTTCAACCCTCTGCACAACAGAGCCACCCTTACGCGAAGACCAATACACACCTACGCTCGCCCACCCGCTCATCCCAAACCCAGTTAACACACTTCGAACTGTATCGTCTGCTAGCGAGAGTCTATTGCGGTAACTAAGTAATCCCCAAGCGTTATTCGCAATTATTTGTCGCTCCGTGATACAAAGGAGAGCTTTCACTCGGGCGACAATTTAAGTACGCGGCAACGCGACGGACAGTGGCTTCTTGAATTCTTAAGGTCGTGGCACGCGAAATTTTGTCTGTTTTTTTTTGACAATGATTTTTTCAAAATTTTCTTAGGTATGACATCTAATTTTTTTCACGAGCTAGCGATTGGATTCTTTATGCAATTAAGTGACGTCACGTAGCCAGTATCTTGGGATCTCTTATTGGAAATATTTAAATCTTGCCAAAAAGGACACTTGCTTTAGTTAGTTCCAAGAACAACTTTTAATTGCTACTTCTACGTCCTCGGGGATTTTTGATGCTGGAGGAGCTTGATTACTTTCTTTTTTTTTTTCTTTCTTTCTCCTTTTCACCGACGTGACTTGTGGTACTTATGAATTTCGTGGTAATTAGGTAATTACGCTGGTTACGTCAATTAACGGGAATTAATGAGACTCTCGTCAACTGATGTATATTTATTCATTTATTTTATTACTTTAATAATGTTTCCTTAATTTCTTTCGTTTTATGTAATTGGCCGATATTTATTTTGAAATTTTTGTCTCACTTCCATGTCAATCTTTTTTTGTGCATTACGACTCTATAGTTTACGTCGTCCACTTTTTCTATCTTCGCGTTTGAGATTATACCGGCAGATTCGTGACATTTAAATTCATCGCAGTTTCGAACTATTAATTAAAGAACCCCATGGCATTTTTAGAGCCTCGTGGACGCAGCTAAAGCTATCCCTACCTCGAAATGCCAAATTCTGACCTTATCCGAGAACAGAACCCTCCGGGACCCTGTGATTAAATCGACTATCACACATACACGTTCTCATATACCCATTACAATATAAAACTAGGAATCCATGTAACTTGTTTATTCCTTACGAAAAAAAAAAAAAAATCTGATAAATCGTTATTCCATTGAAATAATAAATTATTGATATTGATTATTAAAAAAAATTTTTTTTAATAATTCCTTATCAATAATTACCCAATTTTTTAAAATATATTTTTAACTTCAATTAATCAGATTAATTCTATTTAACATCATATCGTGACTTCATTCCAACATTAATTATTTCATTCAATTTTATACCAGGTGTAGATAGCGGTAGAAAATTTTCGCTGGATTTGAATTGGTCAAAGAAATGTAAAAAAAATAACTTCTATCAAAAGCTTCTTTAGCATTTCATCCAAGTTCTCATTCATTGGACAAAATCATCCTATTGACAGCAATTATAGGTAGTATAATGGGGGAAGTTACTTTGCGCAAATTGACGTTCTTTAAAGGAAAAAACCTTTGCCGGGAGGAGAACGCGTGACCGTAAACGATCACAGGAAATTCTAGAGCAGCGAGATACCCATTGACGGCGTCGGGACGCCGTTTCCCCTTTTCGATACTTTTATTCACTGGTCAATTGATACTCCTTTAACAAAATACTCTGTAGGGATTCGGATGCATACGTAATAAGGTAATAATGAAAAAAAAAGAATGTCGAATAAAAAATGGATTTGATATTATTTTTTTTTGGAAAAATTTTAAAATTCATATTTTTTACTTCGTTACTCAATTTTGAAGTCGATGATTAAAACTAGCATTATCCGTGGATATAATTCATTTCTCACGATAATATTGCCACGGCATTTTATAAGTCAGTGCATTCGCTCGACCTGATGCGATTCGAATAACGCGATTTCGTATTAACTTCGCGATTCGCGAATGCCACGCGAATTCTACCTTGATTGAATCCTCTTGGCGTGCTTGAATTTCCCTTGGCAGGTTTACGTCTACTTGGACTCTGATACTCTCGGGCGCCATCTTTCATTTAGTTTTCGCGTTAATTACAAGAGCAATGAAAAACGATGAATTTAATTCGAAGAATTTTTATTGTTGGAATTATACATAAGGTCAATTAAATGGCTCTTATTATCCGGAGACAGGATCCTGTTTTGACTTTTTGGAAAACTTGACTTCAGTTGTCATCATTTTTCGATATGCCAGTATGGTACGTACAGGTTAGGTAACAGTTTGTGATTGTAAAAAGGAAAGATGATTATCTTTTTTCTTGATTCTTTTATAAGTTTGAAATGCGGCGGTAGAAAATTCGAAAATTATTGAAATTTTTCTTATGGTGGATTTGATGGATTTCTTTTTGAGTATAATGACGTTTCTTATCTCGATTATTGATTTTTTGTAAAATCATGTCATACAAAAAACGTCTCACGGGAATTACGGTGATAGACAATGATTTGCAGAGGTTCGCAATTTTGGATATCAAGCAATGTTTTTTTTTTATTTTTGTTATTTGTATGTTTAATTAAGAGTTTTTATTTTATTGGATTTAACGTTAATCCGCAGGAGGTACGATCCGATCTCGAAGATTTTTCAAACTGTGTCCCGATACGGTGCACCTGAAAAACATGAACCGTGTCCGACGAGACATACGGTATTGCGAAATCCCACGAGAAAACGAAAACCGACAATTTCGGAAGCCGCAGGAGAAAAAGTGTTAAGGACGAGCGAAAATCCACAAATCCTAAAGACATTACGTGACCAGATAAAACCGAGGAGAACCGTTGATAATGAAATTTATCGAGTTAACATGGATCAGCCGAAAATGCCACTGAAACGGAATGAAACCTTGAAGAAGAAAAATATTGAAAAAAAGATAGAAGAATATGCTACGTTAAAAAATCAGAAACGAAAAGTTCTCGTATTAAGAAACCCGACAGACAGTAGACTGACACAAAAGAATATAAAGTTAAAAAAAAATTGGCTCAGACCGAAGGAATCGAAAATTGAGAAAAAAATAGATAATTCCGTGTCCACGTTGGAAAGAGCAAATAAAAAATTGCCCAAAAGCACGTATCCCAATGAAGCATGGAAATCCCAGCAAAAAAATAAGGTACAAGTGTTATGGCACGCATCGAATTATTCAAATCCCGAATAACCGTAAAGGCTTAATTGACAAAATAAAGAAAAAAAAATTTTTTTTCATCACAAGCACAAACAACAAGTTGGATTATTCGCCGAGCAGTAATAAATTAATAAAAGAATCAGTTCATACAATCCTCCACCAGAATCCCAAAAACAATCGAAATTAATCGAATGTCCCCAGACGCAACGTGAATATCCAATAAAGTCTCGGAATAACGGTGGGCGTTGTCGAAATTTTTGCCGTTTACATGAAATTCGCCGCTGCACGCTACAATTGTTTCGACATAATCCTTTATTGGATCAACGGGGCTGAAACAATCGAGCGGCCCATAACGCGAGGATGGGTTCTGCTATCGAGGGTTGGGGAAGTCGGGGGGAGGGAGGGGGGGTGCCTGTTGGGTCTACGTTGAATGGGGTGGGTCAGAGGGTGGCATATGGAAAGGGACAAGAGGGGGATGCAACCACTGGCTAGAGAGCGCATAGAGGGTTTCAGAAAGGACTGTACCGAGAAGACAGAGGAGCGAGAAAGATACTTAGAGAGAGAGAGAGAGAGAGAGAGAGAGAGAGAGAGAGAGAAAGATAGAGCGACTATTGGAGAGAGAGAAGGATTTCTACCTACTTTGCCGGGTGAGCGGAGTTACAAATGGGAGAACGCGGAACTCATCCGCAAACTGAAACTCCCGCTCGGCTTTCTCGTGGTAATCTGCCGATGATTCAAGGGTGTAGGAAAGGCTAGTAGCTTCCAGCAGCTAGTACGAGGCTGCAAGCGTCTAACCCACCGAACGGGAAGAAAGAAGAGTGCGTCACGTAAAGGCTATAATAAGGGCACATAACCTCCAAACAGTCGTAACGCCCGTAACGCGGTGTACATGCTTCGAATTCTCTTCAGTAGTTACAATCAATCTCTCGCTTAAAGACATAGCAGAAGAAAAGGTTCGTATAGGACGCTCTCTGTTGGGAGTACCTTTTCTATAACTACCTAGCTACGTAGTTAAACTAACCTGTCTCTACGAACCTTGGCAAGACGACGGCTGGCTGCCGCAGTCAGAAGCATAGGAGTACCGTGAAACGAGCCGATGACCAAGGATTATGGATTTTAAATAGTTTTCATTCGCTGTTCTACACTCCACATAAACACGAGCACATATGGGTTCGTATCTGTGCATGTAAATTGATGCGTGTCCTACTATTTGAGAAACGTACTTCACCGAGTATAGCATTCGTCACAGGTTAGAATTCGTTCTGTGTATCCAAGAGGTTGCGCGACTATTATGCGCAACATATGTGCTACATAACCCTAAATGGATGCGTTATGATGATAGTATGTCAGAAGAGGAACTACCGTACGGTGACCAACTGGTTCTTTGTCGTTGTTGAAGGATTTAGTAAATCTTTGGACATAGCCTTTAGGCTTTACGTTTAAACGGCTCTCGTACGAACACACTTGTGACGGTTTTTGTAAATGCGTCTATCGTCGACTCCCCTCGTAACGTTTCACCTTGTCGAATTACTTCACAATAGACAGACTCCTCACCCCTTCTCGAGTCTCGGCACACAAAATATAATTACTCGAAATCCCAAACAGTATTAAACTTTTATCGCAAACATCATTTCGTCCTGGCTCTGAGGCCCCATTAACGGCGCTGGGATAATTAATGTTTGCCAGCACCGTCGGAAGCGACTGTTTGATTGAGGTACGATGAATTTTGTTGGCGTGGTGTTGCCCTTGATTTTATTTAAATATACGCTGTCAAGTTTCATCGAAAACAAAAATACCTAATGCAATCTTCATATTTTTACGTGACGTTAGGCTCGCGCTGGACGATGAATATTTAATCGTTAGCAATGGCGTTACGGTGTAATCGGCTTTGCGTGCCGTTTCGAGGATCATTATCGGTCCTCGTGTATCTCGTCGATCCTAAGCGTAACGATGTGCTTCATCGACTTATCCATGCAGCTCGGTCGGTAAATCTGACGATTCTGTATTAAAGACTCTTCGCGTCGGTAACGTAGATTCCACTGTCACTTAAATCTTTGGCTTGAGCAAATTTAGGGGATAGTCTAATTATTGTTTTTTTTTCTTCTTTTAATAAATACATATATTCTGTGTCCTAGAGCATAACGGTGATGTGAAAATTCATATTTATGAAAAAAAAAAAAACTATTTCACAGTATGACTTTTTAAAAATGCATTATTTGCGTGATGCACTCATGTTCTGCGTGATATGTTACCGCAGTTTCGTTTGTTCTCTTATCTGTACTCATAGGACACGCCATATGGCGAGTATGCACAGACGTTCTGATTTTTAAGTAACGACTTGCATTGTGAAAAAAAATTTAGTGACTGACGTTTGATAATGTTTACAGAAAAATGTAGCTTTTTATTTTACAGTATTTTTTATATGGAGTTTACATTAAAATGTACAGGGTCATTCAGCTCCAATGCATGTACCGCCTGAATACAGTCTTATTACAAGTATCAAATGGGTGCACTACCTGAAGTTAGCCTATCGTTTGATTTCCACGATAGAACCAGGTGATTTATACCGAATAGCCCTGTATATATATTTCTTAGAGTATCAGGTAAATTAATTTGTACAAATATGAAAAAATATTTCTTATTAGTTTACATAATCCCGTTAATCTTCTTGAGTGCTTATCCAACATGTGTAATATCAATATTAATAGTTTTTGAAAAACGTCAAAATATTTCATATCAGAAACGCCTCACGTTCTATCGTACACTTTGTTCTTATTAAAACATAATTGTTACGATTACAGCATACAGGGTGTTTGAAAAATAACTATGCCATTTTTTTTCATCCTTATATTAATGAAATTTCATGCAGTTACGTATACAAGTAGTGCTGTTATTTTTCACTCACTCTGTATATATTTCATATAATATATTTCTATGTTAAATTAACAACTAATGACTTATTGTTATCGGTGGCGCTGTATATGTCGTTTGTTTTGATTATCATTTTTACAAAATTTTTCCCCTTCTAACGCGGTCTCGTTATTTATTCATACTAATTGACCAAGATGGGGGCCATATTAATTTAACTAATTTCGCGATGACTATCGGCGGAACATTAAATAAAGCACCGTACTCCACTCTACTAATATTTCACCGTGTAGATTATAGACCATAGGCCATCCTGTCGGTCACATAGGTTCCAATGACTACCCTTGTAGTACGATTACGATCATCAATGCATAGCTGAGTGTTTGATCAGTATAAGTGGGATGTAATCATTTATGGAAAAACAAAAAAAAACCTAAAAATCGACTAAAGTCAAGATAGCTCGTTAATTTGTCTTATTGATAAGACTAATTAATTGTTACGCTTAACTGTCTTATGCCGCGCTCTTATTATTAGTGTTATTCGTTTATTATATAAATTTGATAACAGGAACGAGAGGCTGAAAAATTGGCGGAAGAGAATGCAACTTTGAGAGACGTCAAAACCGAACTGACAGCCAGCAGGAATTCGGAAAGCTGGCACGTCGGCTCTTTTTATCGACAATTGAATATACCAAGGGGTAATTATTTTTCACTTTGATTTAATACAAATTACCATAAAGCATTATCTTCTTATACTCGAGCAATCGCTTTTTTTTTAAGTATTCTTTCTTTTTTTTTTTATAATCCAGATCCCAATTACAGATTCAGTATGCCTTTTATTTTGCTCCGACGAAGTTACCGTGCGTAAGGCGAAGATCTTGGGAAACGTAGTTAATCTGAAATGCAATAAATCGATGAATAATAAAGGAATACATTTTTGGTGTACTTTTAGAATTTTCTTATGCACAATTTATCACGCATATTGTTTGCATTGGGCGAGTAACGCGAAAAAAAACAAAAAATTGAATTTACGAAAATGAAATAAGAAAAATAAAATGTTTATCCGTCACAATGTAGCGAGACAACAAAAATGTTGGATATTCCTTTTTTTTACGTATAAAAAATATTTTTTCAAATATCCCAAAATCTAAATAAAAGTCAATAATAATTTGAATCTAAATTCAAAGTCACGATATTACAGTATGACGCAGCACGTTATCACCTCGTTCCGCCAGTCAAGGAATTGACGAGGCTCTCGAAAGGAGTAACAAGTCCGGAGTTTCTATTAATTAGAGTAATTAGTCGGGAGTGGAGTGTTAACTAGAAGCAGGGGATGTTTGGCAGAGGGTCGTGAAAACACTTGGCTGGGTAATAACGTAACCAAGGATCGAGTCTACTTCGAGGGGCGGTCTTTCGTTTGCGCATGCGCAGACGTTAAACCCACCAAGCTGCCTTCAGCTTCGCATCATCAATTCACTGCTATCGGTTCCTCCCCCACAATTATTAACTTTTTTCTCTCTTTCATCGGACAGGAGCACATTTGAAATAGTATTCGAGCATGCCCCGTGGCATCGTTACTAAAAATAGAATTACCTTCCGCTATCAACAAAAGAAAATCCTCTTATCGATACATATTAATAACCGCATCCGCCATCTTTTCCTTGTTCATCTTATGCCCTGTAAACCATAATAAATCGTTTCAATAATATTTCCATTAAATTCTCATGAAAAAAGAAAAGAAAATACACAAGTGTAATCACCATTAAAGGTTGTCCGTTAGTCCGATTCTGCCATTTTGTAGACACATTCAGTGAGGCACGTATAATCGTTCACAGATTACAACCGGCCGCATTTTGGCCGTAGCGTAAGCCGAAAATAACGAGGCGATGCGTGAGTCTGCCTTTGCAGCACAGAGGGCGTAATGTCTGGTAAAAAGTAAAGTGGAGCGAATCTATTTCGAAGTCTCTTGAATTAGTGATCGACCAGGGGGAAGAAAAAGCTTGTGAATAAATTCTGCCAACGAGTCATGAATAAGAGATAATAATAAAAGATACCTTTCTGCCTATATCGATACAGGTGCAGAGGCCACCGAGAGATCAAGCTTGGATTGTTCAGCATGTCGTCCAAGAGGAATGTTTTACGGCCAGGTCCACAGTCCAAAGGCATCAACTAATTAATCAAACGTCCAGTTAGTTACATGAAAACCGGACTCACTGGAAGCCAAATCATCATGCTTACCCTTGTCTCAATTTAAGACAAGAGTCACTATGAATCCTTGGGCATGCTATTGTTTCTATGCAGTTATACATATTCAATGGACATTTATATATCAGAGAGAGTCAGTTAGTTCATAAATATTCGGTTGATTAAAAAAAAACTCTCGTACCGTATCCAAGGCTTTAGAGAAGCGGTATATAATATTGCGATTATACATAGAAAACGGAGCTCTGACTTGTGCAAGAGATTATGATAAATAATTATAGATGAAATATGTAGTTGTAAATGGAGCATTCATATTAGTTCATACGAGGACCGTTTCCTTTTATCGATACTGTATCAATATTTCTGCTTTGGATTATTACCTGCGCTTTGCAATTGAGGAAAAAAATGGATGTGCTAATTAGCATGATCCATCTTGTTAATGAACTGTACTCCTTCTAAGAAGTTGACGGTATCTCACAGCCATCAATCAGTTACGTACCTTGGCGCCCTTTGATCAGACCGAATCAAAGATCTTAGGGATTTACCCTATTATCACATTGTATAGTGGCATAATTCTATAGTGAGGTTATTATCAGAAAATAGCCCACATATTTGGTGATAGTTGAACACGGTGTAATCTAAATTATAAATAAAAATGTTATTGTATGATGAAAACTTATATGTCTCTGTCCTTTCAATCATTTAGTAATACCACGTGTATAGTCACCAATCAAATATTTATATGGTGCCATAATAAAAGCTTATAATTTCTTATAACTTTTTCTTCCATGATAATTTTATTAATGACTTTTTATACCGTCTTAAATGGCTTTCATCCATTTTTTTTACTTTGTTGTTCCACCGACTGACCTGCATCCCTTTTCAATAGGCGTAACAAATCTTTTTCAATTACTCGCCTCGATCTCTTGCACATCGTTCAGTAATCTCGGCCTCTTGAGATATCTTATGAAATCCTTAGGGAGTGCCTTTTCTGTAGTATACGTATGGACGGTTCACTGAGTTAGAAGCTTTAACGGATACAGTTCCTGGCTGGTTGCGCTCCCAGGGCGATCGTCAGCAGAATTTCGGATTCCGACCACATATGTTCTGTAGTCAGAAATATATATATATATATACGTACATAGTTTAAAAGTACCCGCAATAAATATAATCAGATTGAGATAAGTTTAATTTCATTGAGATTGCAAACTCTTTGAAGGAAATTTTTCCAACTTTTTACACAGCCATATGTTACATACCGTTTTATTCTATGCTTTACAGTGCCAGGTTGTCAAGCACCTTTGTTCTCAGTGGATTTTTCTGCATCTGGTAAAACCGACTTTCTTATCCTCCCTTTTACTGCAATTTATAGAATCCCGCGTTTCACAGGAATTATGGCGACTGTCACTATAGTCGCTGGGACAAACACCGTCTGCGGCTAATGTTCCGGGAAATTGGCTTTGCGCATGCAGACTTCTCTCGGGACGAATCACGCTTTGGGTTCGCGTAACGATCTCACGTCTCCTCTCCTGATAAAGTCCTGTTCTGGATACTCCACCTATTCATGGGACGTCCTGGAATCAACGCGTTTCCAATAACTACCTAAAAGAGGATTGCTCGAGGCGTGTCGAATAATGCGTGAATCTTCGAATTCTAAAGAGACTGTACCTTGTCTGATGTTATGTAATATCAGTTATATCATCCAAGGGACTCTTACGCACTGGCGAGAAATAACTAGGTGGCCCCTTAATTTTGAATTCCTCTTTTCATCCAGTCACAGCTTTTTAGGTTAGCATCTGTTATCTCGATGAATCCTTAATCTTTTTTTGTGGTTCCTGCACAAAAGATATATTATAGCCACGTTCACTGTATTATCCTTTTGACAGATTTGTAACGTATATACGTATATAATGAATAGCCCATAGCCAGCCGATAGCAGTACGTATGACCAGGCAATGGATAACGATCGCAATAGAATCTCTCCATACAATAGCAAAGCCTGGGCGGGTATTTAAAGAAACATTTTAATTGCAGTAGATAAGCCGCTTACCTACCCCTCCGTCATGCGTTAATAAAAACAACCCTCCTTCCAAGAAAGCAAAGCAGACCCCTCACGAAACTCAGATTTTTCCATGGAAATGTCATGCGGTTGAAGAAAAAAATTGAGGTTAGGTCAAAAGAGAATAATAAGCAATAAAGTCAGAAGCGGCATTGAGAATTCTTAAATGAAGAGATATTAAGTACAGATTAATTACTTCGTACCTCAATTATACTCGAGTATTCGTAGAAGCAGAAGAACCGACGTAAAAGAAACTGTAAAAAGTAAATCCAACAATTTTCGTACAAACTGTTTGCCCGCCTGCGACGGATATATTTTTTTTTAACTGACCTCTTCGCCTGGAGTATATCCTGAAGGAGAATCAGAGCATAAAGGAAAGGCGACCCTGTAATTGGGCATCAAAAGGCAATATTTTCAAGGGAGTCACATCAGCCATGTTACCTTGACGATGCGTAGGCGCTATCTCTCGGTTGAACGTCGTACTATCTTGACAGGGGGCCTTTACGAGATGGAACATAAGGTCTCAAGATACCCATGGTATACGTGGACTACTATACCAGGACCACCAGGATAGTATGCCTCGTTACCGCGTGGCCGAGGAACCTTATTCCCTTGGGTAATATCGCATACAATTATGTCCACACAGAAAGGAAAACATGCATTATGTATACACCCTGTCTCCCTTTCTAGATCCCGTGCGGTAAATCACGTCGCAGGGTTGGTTAACTCTGCAAATGATCGAACTTCTCGCCATCGTGTTTGTCTCACGCCGATTCCATCGTACCTACTACCCCTGTAATAGAGTTATAGCAGAGATGAGTAGGGAGACAGTCAATGAGCCGATTTTCATGGTCCAAGTTTTATTTCGGAGTCGACGCGTCATCTGGACGGAGGAGCCTTGAACCAGTTTCACGTTACCGATTGGTCGGACGTATACCCTAAGCAAATCCTAAACGTAGGTAATAACAGAAATATAAGTTCCCCGATTCTTTTACCATAATGACTTAACAGCACACGTGCGTGGTGCTTCGGTCAGCGCGCAGGGTTCAGGTTTGAGATTCGGTAATTATTTTTTTATATTGACTGGTTTACTGTTTCTATTGGTTTTATTAATTGCCTTAGGATTTATTAAATACATTATTATAGGATTATACATACGATAAATACATGAATTAGCGAGCGTTTCTTCTTCCCGAGTGACCGTGAGTGACGAATTGGGCAGATGAACGTAAGTACAAGTAGGATACGAGCATTTAGATAAAAAACTTGCTGGCCTGTATCAGAGATGAGTATGGGAGATAAACAACGCTACGGTTTTAGGCGATACCATAATCACGGCGCTAAATCGTAGAGGCGAGTCTGGAAGTAGGATTTTGTGATCATCGCCTCCGTCGACAATGCGAATCCCGTCTTAGCCGAGCTAAACGTGAATATGAACGTATAGCTTGGCGGGCACAGGTTCTCCGCTACTCACCGCTGGTTCTCAAAGCAACAGTCTCAAAAAGACCGGGAACTATAGAACTCCTTAAGAAATATTGCAAAAGCCTATTGTTGAAACATTTTTAAGACATTTTTAAGAAAGTACAGTGTCAACTTGATATCCGTGTAGTACCTGAAATTTTACTAAATATTACTGGATCTTGATTTATTTTCAAAATTTATTCAAAATATAGAATTGCGGTTAAATCAAAATCTCGCAGAATATAAGAAGTAGATAAAATTTGAATTGCAATTGTGGAATATCCAAAATATATTACATTCAAATTGAAATATTAATAAATTAGGTGTTTGGAACATTAAAATAATTAATTAAATAATTAAAGTAAAATATTAACACTTAGAAATCGGAAATTCTAGCCAAGCATATTTAGAAGTACTGGAAGTTGCCCAAAATTGTGCGCGCGCAACTCGTCACGCACGACTCGACGAGCGAAGGCAGGCGGAAGGTGGGGGGAGCGCTCGAGGCAGAGCCCGGGACTCACAGCGCTCATTCTTCCTCGAGCCGGTCTCCTATACTGGTCTCTTGGAATTATTTCGAACCTTCTTCTATTTTTAAATTTATTTCTTCTTTACTTCGTTATTTCTTTATCTTTCATTCTTCAATTTCTTATTTATCTCTTTCCTCATTTCTTCTCCACTTTTATAATTCTATTCCTTACTTTTCTACTTCTTCACTTCTTCATTTCTATATTCTTTTCTTTCTTATTATCTTATTCTCACATCTTTATTTCTATATCCATTTATAACCTCCTTCTTCTTCTATATTTATTTCTTCTTTACTTCGTTATTTCTTTATCTTTCATTCTTCAATTTCTTATTTATCTCTTTCCTCATTTCTTCTCCACTTTTATAATTCTATTCCTTACTTTTCTACTTCTTCACTTCTTCATTTCTATATTCTTTTCTTTCTTATTATCTTATTCTCACATCTTTATTTCTATATCCATTTATAACCTCCTTCTTCTTCTATATTTATTTCTTCTTTACTTCGTTATTTCTTTATCTTTCATTCTTCAATTTCTTATTTATCTCTTTCCTCATTTCTTCTCCACTTTTATAATTCTATTCCTTACTTTTCTACTTCTTCACTTCTTCATTTCTATATTCTTTTCTTTCTTATTATCTTATTCTCACATCTTTATTTCTATATCCATTTATAACCTCCTTCTTCTTCTATATTTATTTCTTCTTTACTTCGTTATTTCTTTATCTTTCATTCTTCAATTTCTTATTTATCTCTTTCCTCATTTCTTCTCCACTTTTATAATTCTATTCCTTACTTTTCTACTTCTTCACTTCTTCATTTCTATATTCTTTTCTTTCTTATTATCTTATTCTCACATCTTTATTTCTATATCCATTTATAACCTCCTTCTTCTTCTATATTTATTTCTTCTTTACTTCGTTATTTCTTTATCTTTCATTCTTCACTTTCTTATTTATCTCTTTCCTCATTTCTTCTCCACTTTCATAACTCTATTCCTTACTTTTCTACTTCTTCACTTCATTTTTATATTCATTTCTTTCTTATTTTCACTTATATCATTTCTTTCTTATTATTCTCACTTCTTTATTTCTATATCCATTTCCAAACTTCTTCTATTTCTATATTTATTTCTTCTTTAATTCCTTATTTCTATATATTTCATTCTTTACTTTCTGATTTACCTCTTTCCTTACTTCTTCTGTAGCTTTTTAACAATATTCCTCTTTTTCCCTTCAACAACATCTTCCCTGTCTGTTGCCGCCAAACGTTTCTACTCTATTTTTGAATCTCCTATTCCTTCCTATATCTCCATCATTCTCCTCCTAATATATCTTTAAAAACTAAGTTTTAAAATGTCTTTTGGAAAAAGAAAAGTCCAAAGTGGTAGCGCATGTAGCATACCACACGCATATTATATTGTAGTGATATATGTAGTATATCTGTAATGGTAATGTTATTGTTAACCTTTCCCAAGCCATATACTGTATACGTATACTGTATCATTATTGCGTTTGTCGAATAAATTATCTTGCAACACTTATACACTTTTCGAATCTCCTATTCCTTCCTATGTCTCCATCACT